AGTTCCGAGTTAGCCAGCAACTAGTCAGTTGTATTGTGGCATTTGGAGTGTACTATTTGTGATACTGCAGATAGCAGTAATAGTGAATCTGTAATTTGGGTGATTGTAAGTGCGAATGTGAAATAAAATTCGCTACATCAAATACGGCGTGGAGTTATTTGTCGCGATATACGCCCGATACGTGACAATATATACATATACATACATACGTTGTCACGTGTTGGGTGTGTCATGCGACAAATAAATTCACGTGGGTCTCAGATTCAGCGAATCTTTATTGGACACTCACACTTATACACCGTACAATTATCACCTTAACTGTATTCCGCGGTGGCTACCTTCCAACTGTCTTGTATGGCGACTAGATCTCAACTGTGTTCTATGAAGGCTATTTCCAGACCGTCTCCTTCGGCGGTTAATTCCAGACTATCCGTTGGCAGTTGCTATGCATTGAACCCTCTGTTATAACTANCGTTGTCACGTGTTGGGTGTGTCATGCGACAAATAAATTCACGTGGGTCTCAGATTCAGCGAATCTTTATTGGACACTCACACTTATACACCGTACAATTATCACCTTAACTGTATTCCGCGGTGGCTACCTTCCAACTGTCTTGTATGGCGACTAGATCTCAACTGTGTTCTATGAAGGCTATTTCCAGACCGTCTCCTTCGGCGGTTAATTCCAGACTATCCGTTGGCAGTTGCTATGCATTGAACCTTCTGTTGTAACTGTGGAGACTCCTGTTAGAACTACAATACCACTATTGTTATTTCCTATGCAACAGTCTATTCTACCGTTTCCATGGAAGTCTCTCTTCTGGGTTCCGAACATGTTACAATATATATATTTCATGCACAGAGACCACATGGTGACACTGGGAAGTATGTGTATACATATATATTCACCATAAGATATATATATATATATATACATATTGCCATAGGGTGACTGCAGCAGCTGTGTGTGTACCATGTATACATAAAGGCATTGTGTGCAGACATTTATATACACTACTTTTGGAATATTTCCTTTGTTTTGAAAAAAAAAATGAAAGCAAATTTATACATGTAGGAAACACACCTGTTTACCTGAGAGAAGTCGCCTATGTAGGAAGTGATGTGGGCATGTAAAGAGGCGGCTGTACACTCAAGTGCCAAAAGTCATGGGATAGCAGTATGTAAATTTATTTTTAAGTGGTTCCACCATCCCTTGACGGCTTGGGAATGCCCAGAGCAGTATCAATTGTGAGGTGTTCTCTCGTGAGTCAGGTTGAACACCGGCCAGTCTGCTCATGGCAAGCCGACGTGAATTATCGGAGTTTGAGCGGGGCATGATAGTGGGTGCCAGGCGGATGGGACATTCCATTTCTGAAGTTGTGTGGTCATTCAACATTCCTCGATCCACGGTGTCACGTGTGTACCAGGAATACCTTGTGGAAGGCATTTCCACCCACCATGGACAGCGCAGTGGCTGACCATGGGTGCTTAATTATCGTGACCAGCAGCATCTAGCTAGAATTGTCTGTGGTAAGAGACAAGGGACACTGGCTGAAATCACATCCACATTCAGTGCAGGAGGTACCAGACACATATCCAGCAGGTCAGAGCAGCGTTCTTTAGCTTCCATGGGATATGGGAGCAGAACACCGACCAGAGTGCCTCTGTTAACACTACAACGCCAGACACAGCGCCTCATCCGGGCTTGTGATGTCGCTAATTGGACCCTGGAGGATTGGCAACATGTGACGTCCAATAAGTCATGGTACCAATTGTTTCGGGCAGATGGTAGGGTTCAGGTGTGGCGCAGACCCCATGAGGCCATGGACCCCAGTTGTCAACAAGGCACCATGCAGGCTGGTGATGGTTCCATACTGGTGTAGGATGTGTTCACGTGGCATGGGTTGGGTCCGCTTGTCCACCTAAACACGTCATTGACTGGTGACCGCTACGTTACACTGCTTGGTGACCATCTGCAGCCCTTCATGGACTTGGGGTCTCAGGAGCTCTCAAACCCCACCACCACGATAAGGTGGAGATACCATTGGTGGAGGAGGAGCCTATATATATGCCCTTTTATATATATAGACAATAAATATATTTATATATCGCAATGTATATATTGATGCCTAAGATCACGCCTGTTCATAGGTTCCTGTGTAACAATATATATAGGCATCAATGTGGTCATATAAAGTCGGCTCAGGTTCTTCCTCTCTCTCTCTCTCTCTCTCTCTA